TATATATACACAATAAGTCTATATACAGTATATATATTGGAATCTAAATGAGGTCAAAGAGCGCCCCCTAGCGGTGATATAGGGTTCAAACTTCTACCATTGCGTTGACTAAATGCGAGTGACATAACGCCACTGGTGGGGCCAGGAGGCAGACTGTCTATATTCACATGTCGGACCTGTCCACTCAAATCTGTCTCCCGGTCCCTGGAAGATCAGTGAATTGATCCCAGGCTTCAGAATTCAGGCCAAACAACCGGCGATGGCCTCGGCGAGAACCGACAACCGGCTGACGGGCTCCCAAAGCTTCGTGTGCATGGGCTTCTCCGGCTTCTTTAGTAAAACCGTCACGTCCCCCCTGGAGGTGGTGAAAATTAAAACCCAGGTGGGGACTTATCACTGCAAAAGCGGTTTCTGGCAAAGTTTCATCGTCATCTACCGGAATGAGGGACTTCGAGGGTTTTGGAAAGGAAACCTGACTTCGTGTCTTCGTTTGTTTCCGTACAACGCAGTTCATCTCACAACATACAAAAAGTAGGTTGGACCTGGCTTGTCTCAAATTATAGCCACTTGCGTATGTGTTTACCCTTATAATTGTTAAAACTTAGCTTGAACAAGTTAACTGTACACCTGTGTGTACAGCAAGCGAAACGTGTATATTTGTGTTGAAATAAATTGATATTTGCATTCATTGTTTTTTTTTTTTCTGTGAACCATTTTTCAGCAGCAACTGGGTTATTTTAACTGTTCGTTTACTTTTTTACTGTTAAACATTGCACTTCCTGTTTTTGCCGTACGAGGCGTAGCGTCATGCTTTTGACCAATCAAAAGGCCGAATTTTCTCAGTCGATTTTTAAAGCGCCTTCGGTTAAGCGTGTCCTGAATTTTGTCTTGCAGGTAGTCTGGTTAATACTGCGGTGGTCTTAAGGCATAAAACACTAGGAGCAAAAAACAGTTATAAACATGTTATAATAAACGTAAATACGCACAGAAACAATTAACACATTAGTTTATAGATGGTAATTTTAAACAAAATATCAATTTTCTTTAGAGTTGGATGAGTTAATAAATGTCCCTCAAAATTAAACCAATTGTTCTGTTTAACAGCGCTACCTATCAGTGTCAAAGATAGTTAATCAACTGATGAACTGTCAGCAAATGGAAAAAATTATGGAGTAAAAACAAATAAAAAATGCAATTCTAGTTAGTGGTTTGACTAAAACAGCAAAAGTTAAAGTTGCCAATTTTATCTTTCATTGAGTCATTTTGTTGTGTCTAATCTATTTAGTCAACACTGTCTTGGTTATAGTATTAGGATATGAATTCTGCCTGTGAGCCTTAACCGAGGGCATACTGATCCCTACGTAGGGTTACTAAAGTACAAAACAAACCAGAGCTGACAGCATGACTACAAAATATATAGGAAGCAGTGAACACACAAGCAATTCAATACAGATCAATTCTACCAGTGTCTGAGAATGTCACTCTTTAAACTGCATTTGTGTGTGTTTATATGTTTATGAATAATGTGTGTGAATATGTATCTATTTATAAACCTACCTCACACTTACTGCATAAAGTCCTTCCCTGTAGTGTACAGTGTGTTCCAGGAAACATGTTTTCACATGTGTTATTCAGCAGAAGGCTTCCTGTTAATGGCCTTGTGGTAAATTATTAAAAATGAATGTTTAAAGATAATTTAATATTAATTTAAATGACATTAGCATCTTGAATACAGCTGATATTATTTTCATGTTTAGCATAATGAAACAAAAAGTTGTCTCACTGTGTAAAAAAGTCCAGCCCCTCTCAAGGGGATCAGTTCTGTAACTCACACCCTATGGTGAGGTGAACACTATATCTAGCCGGTACCTCTCAACCAAGCTTAAGCTCTTTACCCRCCTGAGATGTGTTCAAACATCTCCCAATAATTATAGCTGTGTTTCCCTTCCTAAACATGTGATAAACAAATAAAACAAATGGCTATGTTTAAAAATAGCTTGTGTAATATTATATCTAATGAAAACAATTTGCATAGAAGAGTGAAACAACTCAAACTGAATGTTTCAAGAGTTGAGATATTAACTGTAGTTGTTGCTGTCTTGTCTATGCAGGATAGTCCACCTTCATATGGACGAGTTTGGCTTCATCTCTCAGTGGAGGGCCATATTTGCCGGAGGTCTTGCTGGAGTTGCTGCTGCTCTGGTCACATACCCTCTGGAGGTAGCAGAGACCAGACTTATTGTTCAGAACTGCAGAGAGCGCACATATATCGGCATAGCTCAGACCATCTCAAAGATCTGCAGGAACGAAGGGCTGAACGCTCTTTACAGAGGATTTCCCCTCACTGTCTTGGGTGTGTGCACAGTCTTTAATTTCCAATAAGGTGTGCTCAGGTAGCAGGTAAAATATCTGTGTTTTTACTCCCTGTGATCAACGGGGATGGAATTTTATTATGGCCAAAACAGTGAAAAAAAAAAACTACAACCATATTTTTATCTCTTTGCTCTACATGTCATCCTTGAGTTTAACAGTATCATTTATTTGTCGACAGGTGCATTTCCTTTTTCTGTCGGATGTTTTACAGTCTACATGAACCTGGAAAAGCTCTGGCAGGAGACACCTTCCCGCTTCACTCCACTGCAGAACTTCATTAACGGCTGTATTGCAGCAGGAGTGGCTCAAACCCTTTCGTACCCTTTTGAAACTGTAAAAAGAAAAATGCAGGTTAGTTATCTGCACTTTTTTTTTCTTGGATATGGGCTTTGATTGTATTGTTATTGATGTAGTTTGATGGTACGATGGTGCAGTGGTTAGAGCAGTAAAGTTCAACATTCAGCTTGGGCCTTCACAGGTTTTCTCTGGTGCTCTGGTTTCCTCCCACAGGACAAAAACACGCAGGTTAGATTATCTGGCAACTCTAAACTGTCCCTGTCTTGTTTGTCTCTATATGTCCCTATGATGGACTCGCAGCCTGTCCAGGGTGTAGACCACCTCTCAACCAATAACTGATGAAGCTGAACACAAACTCCTTGGATGGATAAAGCAGGCAAAATAATAACAAAAAAATCAATGAAAAAAACATTTTCCTTTTACCAGAAATTTTAAAATGTGTTTTTTAATCAGCAACATTACCCTCATCCTCTTTTCTGTATTAGAAAGAAAAAAAAAAGTAGTTCTGTAATCAGAAGTAAATCGGAAATAAATGCAGCCCAAATTAACTAGAATCATTAGAATTTAAGTTTATTAATCAATGAATACATTTTGGTTAGAGAAATCTCAACTCTAATTCAGTCATTGACATATTGTGAAATAAAGCTGTTATTTAAAGTTTAATTTAAAAAAGGAAGGTATCCCTCTTTCTATGAAATGAACTCCTCTTACAAATTCGTGTCCATTGTGACTGTAGTACCACTGTTCTTCCACTAGAGGGTAGTAACGATAGGTGTAAGTAAGTCTGTCAGACCAGCACTATCTGGCTCTTTGAAAACTGAAAAAAAAGTGTCTTGGATTAAGAGTGGTCTTATTTTTTTTAACACACTCCCTTAAACAAACATTTTACATAACTTTAAAGGGGCTATATCATGTCAAATCAACTTTTTTGAGTTTTATATCACGTTATAATGTTATCCCCTCATCAAAAACATGTCCAGAGTCTTATTTTGACTCATTCATGCATGTTTGAGAAATCCTGTGGTGTCCTGAGGCAGCAGGCAGGGGAGCAAAAATGACCGGTTGGGACTAGAAACGCCTTTTGGGACCAGCTCGCAGCTCCTCCTCTGGGCTGTGTCTCCAAGCCGAGCTTCCTCGTCACAGAGCACACCGCCCCACTCCCAACCCCCGCACCCCGCCCATGACTCCTGCAGGCTCTCCACAGCAACAAAGCAAACAACTGGTGAAACTAAAAGTGAAACTGAAACTGTCTGCTGAGCTCCCAATACAACTTCTCGGTGACCCTTTTCAAATTCAAAATACCTTTGAGAAAATACATTTTCACATGCCAAGTAAACTACACTGAGCTTCCATAGTGCAGCGCACCTTCATGTTGAAATGGGCGGGACAGAAGCGGAAGGAGGTTCTTAAAGAGACAGAGACCAATTTCAAGGTGTTTAGAAACAGATATGAGAAGAAGAGTTTATTTTCTATTTAAACATAGAAAAAGAGCATTTTAATAACAACTAAAGGTGACATAGATACTTTATTATGGTATAGAACTTAAATATATGCCTGAGAAACGCATAATATTGCCCCTTTAAATAAACAGTTTCTTTGTGTATTTTTTATAACCAAGTAAAGAAATGCATTATGTTCATCTTAGGTCACATTTGAGATGTTTACTGAGTTATAGAGGACACAGAGGAAACAATGGCTGCTCAAAGACCAGAACGCTGCATCCGGGTTCCGTCTGCCTATTATTAGATGGCACAAGGTTTAACAGCAGCTGAGAATGTGAATGTGGCCCAGGTCTACCCACACTATAGATAAGTTCTCCAAATATAGACGGTAACTGTCAGACAGTAGGAGCACTGAGAGCGGTGTGTTTCCAGTTCGTTAAATTAACAGTAATGCATAAAGATTTAATTCAGTGATTCAGTCTTTATCGTCAAAAGATCAAGGTTAAACATTGGCTAATGGTTGAACATAAATACTGTGCAGTTTAACTTTTTTACCCAAGCTGGATGTTTCCAGTACAAATTCCAAAAGACCCGTATGTGACCTCAGTGATCCTGACTGCCCACATGATGGCCGGCCCGGTTTACGACACAACCGGTGTGAACTCAAAGACGCTCAAGGTACTACACGCCCCGCTGAAGGTTAAATATCTAACAGTCTATGGGAGTCAGGACTGAGGTGAAACGTCATCCTCAAAAAAAATAAAAAAAGCCACATATCCTCTGTCGCATCGCATGATGTTCAGTCTGCAGGCTGTGGTTAATTAAAGAGAAGACTGTGTTGTTTTACACTGAGTGATTATATAATTCAGACTTAGATTTTCAACCACATTTATATGTCTGTCATTTCAATAATAGGACCTTTAATGAGTCTTAATTAGCTTGTCCTTCAATAGTATGTGATGCATGATTGCAGTGACTCAACTGAAAATACAGAAGCTGGTTTGTTTCGGAGGAAATGCACACAAAACAAAAATGTGTTGAAATTTTCTATGGAAGACCTGAAATTACTCCGTGCTGTTTTGGAGAAGCTTTGTGAAAACAGAGATGTTTGTGTTTCTTCAACTGTTTGTTCCTGTTTGTAGACTTTCATTCTACTTCCTAAGAAATCTTACAATATCTGTAAAGTTGACTGAGATATAGTCATCTTTGTGGGGTTTTCCTCAATGTACAGTAGGTCAATGTACAAAAAAATCCTAAACTTAGTTGTCATTATAAAGTCATTTCTTTCTTTTTTTTAAATTTTGCTTGAAAATGATTCTAAAAAAGTAGGCAGACATAGCAAAAAGTGTCCTGTAGCTAATCATCCTGTTTATTTCCTCTGAAAATATTTTTGACGTGTCTTGTCCTTCTCTTAACCTTCTCAGGTTTTAGTTTCTTGACCTAGTTACAATTTTACAATTCACTTACTTTTATTCTCATTTTTTTCATCAGGCGCAGAGTGCCCGTCTTCCTCATTTTGGTGGAGTGGACGTTCACTTTACTGGAATGATCGACTGTTTTATACAGGTTGTTAAAACCAAGGGCGTACTGTCACTGTGGAATGGACTCACAGCCAACACAATAAAGGTACGATCACTTACAAATGTTATTATTAACTGTCGGTGTAGACATCACATTATTTCAAATGGCCAGAATACAGCCTAGTTTGAGCTTGTGTTGCATTGAGTAGGAGCTGAAATAACCAGACGCTCAGAAGGAACATGAGTGCCTTTCTGACTGTTAAAGGATTGTAGCTTACAGCGCAGGGTGGGGCGGGGAAAGTTATGTTGAGTGTGAGCACTGCAGGAATACCACGAACAAGGTGGAACAGCATGCTCCTCTCTCCAGTGTCAGCTGTAAATATCTTCAGAGCTGAACACTGTTTACCGTGTGACAATCGAACTTCATATTATAAACCATGTCAATTCTAAAGGCTTTTTATGTGTAGCTAAAATCAAACTAGATGAACTGCATTTTCTGTAAAAATGTAGTGTGAATGCTAAAAAAAAGAAGAAGCTAAAACTAGTGTTAAAACTAGCAGAACAGCAGCTAAAATAGCACAACACAAGCTAGAAATTAAAAGTATTATAACAGTAGTTAATGACTAGAAGCAGCAAAACAGTAGCTTCATTTAGCATTTCTGAAACTAAAATTAGCACATTAGCTAAAATAAATGAAAATGATGCTGTTATTAATAAAACATAATTGAAAGTAGTTAAACAGATTCTAAAACTAAAATTAGCTAAAGTTAGTAAAACCTAACTAATAAAAAAAAATGGTAGCTATAAGCTAAAGTAGTAGAACAGCCTTAAAAGATAAAACCAGAAAAGCATTTGATAAAAGTAGCAAAACAGTAGCTAAAAGCTAAAAATATTAGAACAGTAGCTGAAATTAGCAAAACAGTATCTGAAAACTGAATGAAGCTTAATTTTAGCTAGAAGCTAAAACGGCACAATGAAATCCGTACTTAAAATAGAAGTGCCAAGACAGCAGCTAAAAGCAAGATGCAAAAGAATGGTAGCTAAAAGTAGAGGAAATGTAGCAAAACTGCAGCTACGAGCCAAAACTATAAAAACTAACTAAAATAACAAAACAATAGCTAAAAGTAGCAAAAAATAGCTGAAAATAGCAAAACTGTAGCTGAGAGCTGAAAGAAGCATAATGTTAGCTAGTAGCTAAAGAGGCACAATGCTACCTAAAAAGAGTAAAATGTACCTAAAAAGAAGCAGAGCAGCAACTAGAAGCTAAAACTATAAAAACTGTAGCTAAAATAATGACGTAACATAGTTAAAAAGTAGCAAAACAGTAGCTGAAAATAGCAGAACTGTAGCTGAGAAAGATTCATAATGGTAGCTAGAAGTTAAAAAAGCACAATGCTAGCCAAAAACAGTAAAAACTTGCCAAAAAAGAAGAAGCAGCAGAACAACAGCTAAAGGCAGTATGTAACAGAATAGGTAGCTAAAAGCTAAAAACTGAGGAAGCTTAAAATTAAAGTAGCAAAATGGTAGCTAAAAACAGATGAAACAGAACAGTAGCTAAATGTTGTATAAAAAGACCAAATTAATTTACAAAATGCATATCACATTATCTGATTGAGCTGAATGTTTAGCTATATGTACTATTAAAATAGCACAAACCATGCCAAAGAAGTTTGTGAGAAAACAAAAAAATCAAAATGTTAGTGACTGCTGATCACACGATTATTAAGATCATTACACTAAAACAAACTCCTTTCTTCCTTTGTGCCATCTTTTCTCAGATTGTTCCGTACTTTGGCCTCCTGTTCACCTGCTTTGAGATGTGTAAGCAGGTTTGCCTTTACAGAAACGGCTACATCGTCTCACCTCTGAGCTACAAGCTGACGCCAGGAGTCGACCAGAGCCTCGGGCCGTCTGAGCTGGAGGAGGTCAGGCGCTATCTGAGAAACAGGAACTTTGCGTCAGGGGAGTCATCTCTGGGAAATCGCTGGTGAAGCCTCGCGTGGGAAGATAGTTTAAGAAGAAGAAGAAAAGCAGATTAAAAACCAGCAAAAATGACTTAAGCTGTTAAATAAGAAAAAAAATGTACTATATGAACTTTCTACCTCTTTGGAGTTATTTTTTTCTGACAGTATTTTATGTTCATGAATTGCTGATTTACAATCCTTAACAGCGTTTATGTAATAACGTGCCTTTAGTGTTAAATATTTATTAATGTAGTTATAACTGCATTATCTTCACATAGTGCCATTACCTATTCACGTAGGTTGCAAAATACTCTTTAACCCTGAGCATTAAAGCGGTACGAGAGTGATCACATTAACTGTTTAACGACTGTAACATTTCATAATGACATGAAGCTGATTGTGGACAATCATGTAAATCTGCCAACAAGATGCAAAATCCTTCAGTAGATCATTTGTTGTACATCAAATTTTAACTAAAAGCTCTTTTGGAATCTTCTTGTCTGTGCTATATGTTTGTGTGTTATCTGTGTTTTTCACAAATTCATGTAAACGGGAGAAAAATGATTCCTTTTTGACAGGCTGCTTGTAACAAAGAGCCTTAAGATGTCGTTTGAACATGATCCTTTGCTAAGTTGTTTGTTGCGTGTTGACACAACACTGATTCATTCCTTGACTTTGTGTCTGAATAATTCTCAGGTCAGGCTTTCTTCTGAGAATGTTCAGGTACTAGAGTCATAGAGGTACATCTAAATAATATTTACGGAAAGTTTTGTTAAAATCCATCTAGCTGTTCTTGGGATAGTTTGTTAAAAGATATTGCACAAAGTGTGTTGGGTATCAGTAGCTACTATCACACAAAACTTTACTTTAATAGCTTTTAGAGAGTTTTTGTTTTTATAATCTTTTTATAATATTTTAGCTGTGGCAGCCATCTTGAGTGAGTTAAACTACATAATTAATCAGGGGATTTTCTAGTGATGAGTTAAAAATCTTGCTGTACTTATATTAGCTAAGCATATTTTATTTTTCTGTAAGGACACATAATTAAAAAAATCTGCATGTGGTTTTCCAGTCAGCTGACTGAATTATGTCATTCTCAGTGTGAGAAACACAGCTGACAGTCAAAGGACGTCAATAGATGTGGTGACCTTTACCCACCATATCTGTCAGGCCTGAACCGTCAAACTGACCTTGAACTTTAATAAAACAAAACACAAACAAAACAACATAACAGTTACCTCTAAGTTCCGCTGAAGTTTTAGTCAGTAAAACAACCCACAAACCGCTCAGGAAGATTTTATCTCTTTTTTTGTGTGATAAAAAAAAGAAGCATTTTGTCCTTTAAATTCTTGAGTGACCATCGAAACTAGCAAATCTGACTTGAATGACGTCTCATGACCCGCCCACTGTCCCTTCAACCAACCAATGAGAAGCGAGAGTCGAAGTTCACGCTCCTCTCTCGCGCCCAGCCTCCTTAAAATCCCCTCAACTCTACGTTAGCTTCGGCCATTTCATCTGCACCTGCAGTCCCACCGAGCCAGCGAACGAGCAGCGGGAAAGCGGCTGACAACACCCCGAAGATGAGTGAACAAGCTATCTCCTTCGCCAAGGACTTCCTGGCTGGTGGTATTGCCGCTGCCATCTCTAAAACGGCCGTAGCCCCCATCGAGAGGGTCAAACTTCTCCTCCAGGTGGGTGTTCTTCACCTCGCTTACCGGAAAATAATGATGCAGATGATTGCAGATGTTATCTGCAGTAACGCATCATTATTCTCCGTGCGGGTGCTGGGTTTCTTTGATGAATGGATGACAGCTCAAAATGAATGAATGACTCACTCAGAACATAATGTATGAATGCAGAAGGAGGAGCAGAAACTGGGCTATAAATAGTAAATCTAAGCAGCTCGGTCTGTTAGATTGGTGCAGACACAGGATGAGGAGCGAGAACAGACCTGTTATGTAATATTAAACCAGAGAGAGAGAGAGAGAGAGAGAGAGAGAGAGAGAGAGNGAGAGAGAGAGAGAGAGAGAGAGAGAGAGAGAGAGAGAGAGCTGCAGTCGCTCTCAGGCTGAAAAGGCCTCCCAATAATTGCCTTATAATTATTTACTGTCCCATCGGTGTTGAAAAGTACTGTTCTTCTGTGACATGTCATTAGTTTGGGCTGACAGCTAATAGGCAAGGTCACAGCAAGGGTTGCGCCATCGTTTCCCACTGCTGCTGCTGCTGCATAGGCCTGGATGCAGCAGCAAGCCGGGTGGGGTGGGTGGGGGGTAAGAAGAAGGAGGAGGAGTTTGACTTGTTGAATGGATGCCTAAATCCCTCTCTCTCACACTCAACACATGCAGGAAAATGTGTCTGTCTGCCAGAGGGAAAAAGTAAAAATGTTAACTTCAGTAATTGAATCAAAACCACGGGTTAAATTGGCAAAACAATTAACTTAAAGCTAAAGTTTGCAAAACAGAAGCTTTATAGCTAAAAAAAAGTGCCTAATGTGAATATTAAACCGTAGACAGGAATAAAAATGATTAAAGCAGTAAAAGGCTAAAATTTAAAACGACCAATAATCTCGCTTAATACTAAAAATTAACTGAACAGTGACTAAAAGCTAAGGCTAAAAGCAGTAGCTAAAATCTTAAACCAGCCGAACAGTATGTCAAAGCTAAAATTAAAGTAAGTATGATGAAGATTTCATACATGACAAAATTTTGAAAGGATTTTCAGAGATAAAAATATATTCCTTTATGGTAATTACCATAAAGACCAAAACAAGCAGAAGGTTTGGACATCTAAATGGCTGAAGTAGTGAGAGTTCAAGAGGCGCATAGAAGGATTTAAAAACACGAAGACAATAGTGTGAATGCTGCCTCAGCAGCACACAGTAATTCTGAATCGCTGGTTTTCTTACAGGTGCAACATGCCAGCAAACAGATCACAGCTGACAAGCAGTACAAGGGCATCATCGACTGTGTGGTCCGTATCCCTAAAGAGCAGGGCTTCCTGTCTTTCTGGAGGGGGAACCTGGCCAACGTCATCAGATACTTCCCCACTCAGGCCCTCAACTTCGCTTTCAAGGATAAGTACAAGAAGATTTTCCTGGATGGCGTTGACAAGCGCACACAGTTCTGGAGATACTTTGCTGGCAACCTGGCGTCCGGCGGTGCAGCGGGAGCCACGTCGCTCTGTTTCGTCTACCCTCTTGACTTTGCCAGAACACGCCTCGCTGCCGACGTGGGCAAAGCAGGAATGGAGCGTGAGTTCACTGGGTTGGGAGACTGCTTGGTGAAGATCTTCAGGTCTGATGGCCTCAAGGGTCTGTACCAGGGCTTCAACGTTTCAGTGCAAGGCATTATCATCTACAGGGCTGCTTACTTTGGCATCTACGACACAGCAAAGGGTGAGTTTTCACCATCAGACGATGCTCTTATCAGTGAACTTGTTGACTTTCATGCAGATTAATCCTCTTGGTTAATGTGTTTTACAGGCATGCTTCCAGATCCCAAGAACACACACATTGTCGTCAGCTGGATGATTGCTCAGACTGTGACTGCTGTTGCTGGTCTTACATCCTACCCCTTTGACACTGTCCGTCGTCGTATGATGATGCAGTCTGGACGCAAAGGAGGTAATAAGCAAAATGTATTGCATTCAAGCTTTCCATAATTGTAGCTACGATTGATGTTTTAATGATATGTTCTCCTCAGCTGACATCATGTACTCTGGCACCCTCGACTGCTGGAGGAAGATCGCACGTGATGAAGGAGGCAAGGCCTTCTTCAAAGGAGCGTGGTCCAACGTGCTCAGAGGCATGGGCGGTGCCTTTGTGCTCGTCTTGTATGATGAGCTGAAGAAAGTGATCTAAGTTTTGTCTGTTCATGGTCCATGTTGTGAAGTTTTACTGTAACATATCTTGTACATTTGGATGGACTTAAATACAGAGTTATTTATAGGGACCAACTAGTATTTTCTACTAGTTGTTACCAGGAGAGTATGTTATGCACTTGACTCTTGGCCCATGTTTCTTTTTGTTTGTTTTACCCCTCACAACAATTTCATTCCCTAACGTGAAGAACTTTGCCAGAGAACGAGAAATAAAGGCAACCTACTGAGCGAACTTCTCACCTGGTTTTGAAATGTATTGCCGTGTCTTAAGGGTATCGTTAAGCCCTCGACTGCCTCGCTTGGGTTAAGCCGTCTGGCAGCCTCTTGCGGGAGGCGTAAGCTTAGAGCTGCAGGTTGTAGTTGGGGGCGAGCCAAAATCAGCTGAGAAAGTTTGACCCGCTGACAAAATTTCAGCCAAGACACACTCCAGGAGAAGTGATACACAGGTAGTGCGGAGCTACGGCTGAACATTTGAACAAATGACTCTCCCCAGAGGAACAGCTAGGATTACCTGTCGTGAGGTGGATTATTTCAACCTTCTAAATATACTTTGATCTCCTGCTGAGCCGTTTCTGACTCCCAACTGTGTGACTGACAAAGGACTTTACTCTTACTGTTTGACCATTTACCATTATGGCACACAAGAGATTTACTATCACAGCCAAGGAGTTTCTTGACGGGTCACTTTCAGGAGGATAAAAACAGCAACAACAGTATTTAAAAGGAAGGGTCACTGTTGTAGCTGGGTATATTCTGTGTTGTACACTGACTGCTTCCTGAAACCTGATCTTGTTTGGCGTAAAGACTTACAAGCTGGTTGTGGCATGTGTAGGACAGGACACTGTGTACTTTGTAATATCTAACCAGGGTGTAGACTGCCCTCTGTAATGGTTGTGTGGTTTGACCTTGTGCTGTTCATATAAATATGGGACAGTTGTAGAACCAGTTGTAATTGTATGAACCGCATTGTTGACCAAGACGAGAATTTTCAAAGAGTGAAAAACTGTGTAATAACAGATCATTTCACGTTCTCATTATTATCATTATAATTATTTATTACAACATTATCAAGGCAAAGTCAGAATAATCTTTCAGCTTGTGTGTTTGTTTGACAAATATCTCACGAATGACTGGACAGATTTGCAACTGATTACTGTCAAAGTCAGCTTAACTCAAGATGGCCAGCAAAGCCAGCTGACCTTAGTGAACACAAAAATGGCTGTAACTCAGACAATTTTATAGATAATAAGCTAAATTTTAAATGAGAGGATGACATTTGGTCTTTTATGACAGCGTGCTGGTAACAAAATGCCTCAAGTTCTTGTTTAAAACGATTCTTTGCTAAGTTATGTGCTGACAGACAACACTGATTGATTCCTTGAGTCATTTTGTGTTTGAATAATCATCAGGCCGGGGTTAAATCATGCTGACATTCTTCTGAAAATGTTCAGGTACTGGACAAGTTAGTCTGTATTATTTTCTTATAGTTTTGTTGAAATTCATCCAGCGGTTCTTGAGATAGATTGTTAAAGAATAGAGTCCAAATAGTCCATTTTAAAAAAGGATCAAAGACACAGTCCTGTGCTCAGCATATATGTTGGGTATCAGTCTCAGCTACTACCACACCAAACCTAAGCTCAAAAGTTTTAAAACTGACAGACTCATAGACATTTTTTTGTGTTTTAAGATCACTTTGGTGTAGTAGCCATCTTGAATTGAGCTAACTTCAAAAGTTAATTAGCCTTTACGTAGTTAAAAATATATATGGCTTACTGGGAGAAAAAATGAGTAATGAAGCAAGACCTCCTGCACTGTATGTTGCATAAAGATCCATCTGCATTGCTTATAAGAATACCTTGTCTTTCTGTACATAGTTTAAGGAGACAATTCAGTAAATGCTGAACTGGGTTTTCCAGTCAGCTGACTGAACTATGTCCTGACAGTCACAGGATGTCAACAAATGTGATGACCTTTACTCACCATGTCCGTCAGGTTTGAACCGTCTCGACGTACTTGAACTGTAATAAAACAAAACAACTTAATACCAGTTACTTCTAAGTTAAGTTTTAATCAATAAAGCTACACACAAACTGCTCAGAAATAGATTATCTTTTTTTTGTTGTTTGTTTGACCAAAAAAAAATGCTTTGTCCTTTAAATTCTTGAGGGACCATCATGGAGTTATATTACCTGTATGGCGACCATAGAAACCAGCAGAATCACATGTCCCGCCCACGCCCTACAAACGACCAATGAGAGGCGAGACTCGGAAGTTCTCACGTTCAGTGTCTTTAAAATCCCGCAACACCTGGTTGGCTTCGACTATCTGTATAACACCGAGGGAGCGAGGCTGCTGACAACACCCCGAAGATGAATGAACAAGCTGTATCCTTCGCCAAGGACTTCCTGGCTGGTGGTATCGCTGGTGCCGTCACTGAAACAGCCGTAGCCCCCATCGAGAGGGTCAAACTTCTCCTCCAGGTGGGTGTTCTTCATCTTCATCACCATGGGGAATATGATGCGGCGTCCCGTTGCTAGGGCGGAAATCCCCGGAGGGGTGGGTCTGGGACCCCTTAATTCAGTAAAAAATTAAGTTTGTCCCTACAGAATCTTTTGAGGGAAGTACTTTTAATCAATATAAAGAAAAGAAAGCATATCCACCATTTATAAATGGAAAATTATGCATTTATGTCTCTAAAAATATGGTTCCCCCACTTCTGCTTTATAGTGGTTTGGTCCATTTAACCACACCTGAAGGCTGAATAGCATGAATATTTAACAAGAGTATTCAAGTAAAATACACTTAGTCGAGGGACCTTTTACTCGTGTACAAGTATTATTACCTGTGTACAAATCTACTGTAATAAAAGTAAAAAGTAAATAATTAAAAACTCACTTGAAGTAAAAGTTAGTTACCTTTTCACAGCTGTTTTTGTGTTTGATGCACAGTGGACAAGAAATTTTATTTTATTTTATTATTATTATTTTTAAAGCTCCTATATTAAATGAAAAGCATCAGAGTTTACTATTTGTCTATTCGTGCATTTTCTTTTATCCACTTCTCCTTTTCGAGTCACTGGTGCCAGCAGTCACAGTGCAACTGGTGGGGGCACCTGGGCAGGGCTCCAGTCCATCACAGTGACACTGATAAACAAGACAATAAACAGGAAAAGTTCGCTCTGTCACAATTTTTGTTAGAGCAGCATAGAAAAAGAGAAACAGTTGACTACATTTAACTACTTTTTTTCACTGTTCGGCTTGGAGATAAGCTGGAATGGAGTAGCTGCTGATCTGTGACCCCCTGAAGCAGTCACAGTGATCTTCTCCTACCTTTGGCGGTGCACTGCATCCTGGCCTGGCTTGTCCTCTTCTTGTGTGGCATATCCTGGGCTAATCAGCCCACAACCACCTCAGAAAGACAAAAGACCTCTGGCCTGCAGCACTGACTGGGTAAGGAGTCGAACCCTAGTGACATCAATGCAATTTTGGCTCTGATGAAACATTTTTAACCTGATGCAACTTGATCATTTTCTTGCTAGCAGCGCTAATAAATGACTTGATAATCTGGCATCTCACAGTAAAAAATAATTCAAAGCAAGCTATTTATCAAAAAGTTAAACTTTGTATACATTCTTGCACATTTAAGCAAAATTAATTCTGCCCAAAATAATTATTGTTTGATAAATGATATTTTCTTTATTATAGTTTTTTACACCATCAAATCTAAGAAATTACTTAGCAAATTTTTCAAACTGGTTATTCAATAATATATTTTTATTATTTGCAGTATGATGTTCCAATTTTAACGAGTGCAAAAACGGGTGTTGTAAAGAGCGAACGAAACGTATCACCCTTGTTCTCCTCCCTCATATCTTATACAGTTTGAATGGAAAAGGTCATATAAATAAATAATAATAAAAATAAAAATGACAAAAACCAAATGTTATTACAGTAATGTCCTAAACAAACTGAACGTTTTGATACCTGAATGGTTGAATTAGTTTGGTTTCAAAAGTAGTATAGAAGAAACTAAAAACGTGAAGACAATAGTGTGAATGCTGACACAGCAGCACACAATAATGCTGAATCGCTGGTTTTCTTACAGGTGCAACATGCCAGCAAACAGATCACAGCTGACAAGCAGTACAAGGGCATCATCGACTGTGTGGTCCGTATCCCTAAAGAGCAGGGCTTCCTGTCTTTCTGGAGGGGGAACCTGGCCAACGTCATCAGATACTTCCCCACTCAGGCCCTCAACTTCGCTTTCAAGGACAAGTACAAGCAGATTTTCCTGGACGGCGTAGACAAGCGCACACAGTTCTGGAGATACTTTGCTGGCAACCTGGCATCCGGCGGTGCAGCGGGAGCCACGTCGCTCTGTTTCGTCTACCCTCTTGACTTTGCCAGAACACGCCTTGCTGCCGACGTGGGCAAAGCAGGAATGGAGCGTGAGTTCACTGGGCTGGGAGACTGCTTGGTGAAGATCTTCAGGTCTGATGGCCTCAAGGGTCTGTACCAGGGCTTCAACGTTTCAGTGCAAGGCATTATCATCTACAGGGCTGCTTACTTTGGCATCTACGACACAGCAAAGGGTGAGTTTTCACCATCAGACGATGCTCTTATCAGTGAACTTGTTGACTTTCATGCAGATTAATCCTCTTGGTTAATGTGTTTTACAGGCATGCTTCCAGATCCCAAGAACACACACATTGTCGTCAGCTGGATGATCGCACAGACTGTGTGTGCTGTCGCCGGTTATATATCCTACCCCTTTGACACTGTCCGTCGTAGTATGATGATGCAGTCTGGACGCAAAGGGGGTAATAAGCAAAATGTATTGCATTCAAGCTTTCCATAATTGTAGCTACGATTGATGTCTTAATGATATGTTTCTTCTTCTCAGCTGATATCATGTACTCCGGCAGCCTCGACTGCTGGAGGAAGCTCGCACATGATGAAGGAGTCAAGATCTTCTTTAAAGGAGCGTGGTCCAACGTGCTCAGAGGCATGGGGGGTGCCTTTGTGCTCGTCTTGTATGATGAGCTGAAGAAAGTGATCTAAGTTTTGTCTGTTCGTGGTCCGTGTTGTGAAGTTTGACTCTAACGTGTCTTGCAGTGTGTCCATGCATCCTTAAAAAGTCTTAAATTCATGTTTTTAAAAATCAAGGCCTTAAAATATTTTAAATATATCTAAAAAATGTAAGTTTGTCCCTAATATGTTATTCAAAGGTCTTAAAATTTTTGAGAAGGTGTACTCTGCAGACCTTAAGTGGGACGTTCTTGGTGTGAGGGAGAAGAGACATTATTGATCAGCTTGACTTATGTGGTAGGAGTTTGTTAGACGCAATTGGTCGGACTGACTTGTGTGGGAGAAGTTTGTTAAAGACGTGATTTGTCAGATTGGCTTTTGAGGAGTTTAAGACGGGATTGGTCAGATTGACTTTTGTGGGAGGAGTTTGTTAAAGACATGATGGTCGGATTGACTTTTGTGGGAGAAGTTAAAATGTGATTGGTCGGACTGGCTTTTGTTTAAGGAGTTTAAGACGTGATTGGTCAGATTGACTTATGTGGTAGGAGTTTGTTAAGGACGTGATTGGTCAGATTGACTTATGTGGTAGGAGTTTGTTAAGGACGTGATGGTCGGATTGACCTTTGTGGGAGAAGTTTGTTAAAGAGGTAATTGGTCGGACTGACCTTTGTGGGAGAAGTTAAAGACGTGATTGTTTGGATTGACTTTTGTGGAAGGAGTTTGTTAAAGACGTGATTGGTCGGATTGGCTTTTGAGGAGTTTAAGACGTGATTGGTCAGATTGACTTTTGTGGGAGGAGTTTGTTAAAGACGTGATTGGTTGGACTAAATTTTGTGGGAGAAGTTTGTTAAAGACGTAATTGGTCGTACTGACCCTTGTGGGAGAAGTTGACGTGATTGTTCGGATTGGCTATTGTTAAAGGAAGAGGTGATGGTCGGATTGACTTTTGTGGGAGGAGTTTGTTAAATACGGGATTGGTCGGAGTTTGTTAAAGACGGGATTGGTCGGATTGGTTTGTGGGAGGAACTTGTTAAAGATGGGATTGGCCAAATTACTTTTGTGGAAGAAGTTTGTTAAAGACGTGAATGGTCAGATTTACTTTTGTGGGAGGAGTTTGTTAAAGAAGTGTTTGGTTGGACTGACTTGGGTAGGGTTTGAAGAAGCCATAGTGATTAGGTTGGATGAACACTGGGCAGCTGGGGTGACATCTAACTCAGGTTAAACGGACAGAAAGCACTTATAACTTTACATTTAAACATTGATTTTAGTCATAACTCGAAATGAGGTTGCTAGCTGCAGGAAATTTGAACACCGTACATGCTGATGGATGGACGTGTAACAATTCTGGGTTAAAACAACCCTAACCCACCTGGATAAAGATTGCTATTTTTCATGCATGTCAACCCCTACTGATGTTTACTGTATAATGAGTCTCAAAAATCCGTAATAATCATACTCACATGGGGCAGGCGCACTGTCGGAAGCAGAGATGACAGCATCTGCAATGCAAAGCAGTAGGAAATGAGGAAGGGAGAACTTATTTCTGGTGGAAACTGAAGCACAAATATGAAACAGAAGTTTTGAAAAAATCCATAAAAATCTGTGAGGTTGCTCTATTCGTCTGTGTACCGGCAAAATGACGAAAAATACGTGTAAATTATGGACAATCTGTACAACTTGACATGTACGATTTTTGAATATGAATAATATTAGTTATAATGTACGACATGAAGTGCTAGCCGCACTAAAATTGAAGTCAATTATGTTTACGTTTTTACATGTTTTACTATTACCATTACTTCAACTTGACCCACAAGACAAGTCAATCCAACCAATCGCAGTTTTGACAAATTCCACCCACATTCAAGAACCTCTGTCGGTATTCCACACTCCGCCAATCATGGTTAAGGCAAACCTTGTCCACACAATCAAGAAACTCTGCAATTTTTCACAAACTCCGCCCACACCGAAGACCTCCACCAATCACAGGACAAACTCCGCCCATACAGCCAAGGGAACCCCCCCCCCCCACAATGTACTGAAGAGTCTCCTACTTGAAATTTCTCAGGGCATGATTTTTTGAGTTCATATTTGTATTTTCTTTTTCTCATGGGACATTTTTGCCAGGCAAAAGTTTTACACTGAGTCTGTCTCTCTGTCTATCTCTCTTTCTGTACACATTTTTCTCCACTGCTGTTTAATCTTCTTCTCAGGGATCATTAAAGTCTTCAAAATGACCACTGACCCGGTGTTATCAGTTAATCGGTCGATCCCTGGAAGCAGCTCCCAGCAGGGAGTGCATTTAATTGATCTTTCATCCTTTTCAACTTCAGCAGGAATATCATCTTTTTTTCCTTTTTACACACAGTGTCTCAGAAACACACTGACATCAAGGTTAACAAGTTCAACATGTGCTGTCCACACTTTTACCATCAATATACCACATTCTCCACCATACACCTGCAATGACCTGAAAAGTCTGCTTGAATAAAATGTTAGGTTTTGTAACATTATTTCCCCCTCGAAAACAGAAGATAAAAAATGACAATTATTGGCCTAACAGGAGAATCTACTGTAAAACAGCAGATTTTTCTTTGCTAAGTCTATTTAAGTAGATGTGTAACGTATCAGGTAATAAAAGAGCTCACTTCATATCTGGAGTTAAACGACACAACAATCAGTGTCTGTTTCTACATGCAGCACTGCATAACAGTGTGGTTACACTCACCAAGAGCTTTGTGTCAGCTGGCCTCTTACGTAACCTCAGCTGTTAGACTGAATTATGTCACAGCATCATGGCCTCTTTGCTTCAACTGGGGAAAAATACAACTTGATTCAAGATGACTACCTCTACTAACTGACCTTAAAATAGTGTCTGTCTGTCCGTCCATCCGTCCCTGTCAGTCAGTCAGTCAGTCAGTCAGTCAGTCAGTCAGTCAGTCAGTCAGTCAGTCAGTCAGTCAGTCAGTCAGTCAGTCAGTTTACAGGTAAAAGTGCCATTAAGTGCCTTAAATTTGAAGGGGTGTTATTATGTATTTTCCAGCCACATAGTTCAATTCTTTACAACAATCAAATAGTTACCTTCAGTTGTTATGAAAATGCTGTATATATAAAAATTTGATATTGCATCATACTCTAAACACTATCTAAAAAGAGCCAAGTAAATTTTGTGTGAGCCGAACCCTGCCCTGTGTGGCACCAGCTTTTATTAGTAAAAAGATTATGTTAAAATGGCTCTTTTAAACACAAAGGTTACAGACCCTTGATTTTGCTCAGTAAAAATGCTTCAAGAATTAAAGTTATATTTGTCTAGAAGGGGGGAGGGGAATCAGCTTTTAAACAGTTTGTATATATTTCTTGTATATATTTCTTATTTCTGTGAGCTTCCTTGTTTTTTTTGTTTAATTCTACTTTGTGTAAAAGCTTTGAATTTTAAATTTCTGACTTTCTTTGCTGAAATGATTTTATTTATCTAAAAAGTTGATTTTTTTTTAAATCCTCGCTGTCATGCACAGAAGTAGCCACTAGAGGGGGCTCGCTCACAGCCCAGAATTTACCTTGCACTCTGGGGGACTTCATATCAGCCAATCACAGCTCGGCTTTAACTAGCTGACGAAGTTCTCTCTTTTTTTCCCCCTCCGCTGTTTGACTTGGTTTTGAGGAGCGAACAGCCTCTTTTCATTGCAGTTTCTCCTCCTCCTCGCGGCTTTAAAGATGCGGCCGAACAGGTCTGCTGTCGCTTTGTGTAAAGTGAGGCACGCCAGCGGTTCTGTAAAGGGGAAGAATATGATGCACCAGTGGCGCCTTCCCATCGCCCTAACTCTCGGTCTGATTTGGTACTTTTCGGACTACTTCGGTCGCACGGTGACACAGTACTTCGTGTGTTTCCTCTTTTGCCTTTCTATCCCGCTGTTGTTCGGAAACAACGGGCGAGAGAGCAGTACCCAGACTGATGAAGAGACGAAGGAACATCCGCTTCAGGTGTGCTACTTTCACCGCACTTTGTTTTCAATAACACTAAACTGTCGCTTTGATAGACGGTAATTGAAACAAACTCGAGATTTAATTAGCGTGAGCAGAAATCCATTTATGGGTCACGTGACTAACGCAGCTCCTCACTGACTCACTATCCTGTATAAAGCAAGAACTCCTTCAAAAGTTTGATCTAAGTGCAAAACTCGAGAGACGCAAGCACTTGAAGTCCAGTGAGAGTTATTTTCCCCTTCTGAGGCCTGAATAACAGGTTGGACATTGTGACACACCTTTACTCGTGATTTTAAACTTTTTTTTTGTTTTTTTCCTAGGAAACTGCTGGGGAAGAGTCCTTCCATTTGACCCACAATAAAGAGACGGTTAAGAGCAACTCCCTGAGCTCTCAGTGTCCACATGTCAAGAAGTCTCTGCGGCAAGGTGGGCCATGTTTGTTAAATGTGTCTTTAAAAGGAGGCAGATGTCAGTTCTGCTCCTGATTTCAGGCTGTTTCTCTCATCAGCTCCGTTTCAACTTGACACATAAAAAAAAGCATAGATCTACACACACACATACACACAGCTGCACGTACGGCTCGTGTTACACGCAGCAGAGGAGCTGTGAGGAGGCAGAAGATTGAAAACACTACATTAGCTGCTGTTATGAGGCTGTAGTGTGTCACACAGGAAATGAGCTGGAGGTTTTCATACAGCATTATCAGCTGTGTTTGCTTTGCGTCTGTTTTGCGCAGCAATAATCAAATTGGCTTGTGCAAATCTTTGGTTCTAATGAGATTAATGCCTAAAAAAAATTAATGCTTTGCGTTTCACGTCTATGCTCCTGAAAGTTCGAACAAGCTTTAATTTCATTAGTTTGACAAGAATAATGACTTGGTGTTTGTTCTTGGTTCTAAATAAAAGCAAATGATTTGCATAGGCACAATCAGTCAACCCTTCTGAAATAACTTTTGACCTTTTGGCCTCGCATAGTTTTACTTTGGTTAAATAACAAAGTTTATATCTCCCTAGGACACGCAAACACACTTTAAAATATACTTAGAGATGGGATAAATGGCTCTTTGAAGGGATCAGGATCTTGGGGGGACCGTTCAAAAGAGCCGTTTTGATTTTGAACATATTACGTCATCACGTAGGAAAATACATCATCACGTAGCCGTACGTAATGATGTCATCCCGTCACATGGGTGGAACCATGTGTTTGTCAAGCGGAAACCCCCTTGTGAGCTTCTGTACTCCGCCTGTTTTCCGTGAAAAAGCAAAGCTGGAGCGATTTAAGTATGAAAAAATAAAGATTATATGAGGAATAAAAGAAATAAAACTACAAATGGCTCGTTACTGCCCGCGATTCGGCTCCTATCGTTCGTTGTAAAGAGCCGTTCAAAAGATTCGGATTGTTCGCGAACTTCACATATCTAGTACAAAAAGTAAAGAAATTTGTGTTTAGTAGATTATTTCTTTGTTGCAACAATGCTTCTTGACAGTCTTATACTGTTGAAAAGCCTGTTAAATTCCCTTTTAAATGGTGCCACATGTGTAAGGAACATGCATTTGTGGGATGAGCAGCAGAGATGAGAATGTGGGTTGCACACAGGAAAATTTTGCCAAATCTTCTCTGCCAAACTGTGTATTTTGCTGTTATCGGCTTTTGTTGTGAGCTTCTGGTCCCCCCCCTCCACCCTGCACACACACACACACACACACACACACAACCAGGTGCTGCCAATTATGGGCCCGCTATAAGATTTACATCCAAGAGTCCTTGTTACAACAAAGAAATAATCTACAAAACACACATTTCCTTACTTTTTGTGTTACGTTTTGGGTTTAAATAAAATAGTTCCACATGATAACTGCTTCTTGATTTTAGTGTTAGCCCCTTTCCTTTTTTTTACAAACTGAGTGGTTTAATGAAACTGCCAGAGAAATACAACAGTTCCTCTTTCTGTCCTTTCTTTAGCTCTGTTCATAGCTGCCAGATCTTTAACGAGGTATAGACTTGATTCAGCTCCGTTTCAGCCTCTCTGTGCAGTTCAATCGCTTAGAAATCAGCCCGACGCTCAATACCGCTTTAAAGCACTGTATCTGTTCAATCAGATTTTATCTTAAGAGCACTTGTGATGCAGTTGAGAGAGTAATCCTTTCAGTGCAGAGGAGTAGCGGCTCTGCTCCGACCTCCCTTTTTAGATGGTGAAGCTCCTCACCTCATCAACCAGGCCGAGCCCAGCCACTGTATGGAAGTGCTCGTTTCAGCTGCTTCTGGGGCCTCTTATCATTTTACCATCGATGCAGGTTGAAATGCAGACAGACCAGTAAATCAGAAGTTTTGCTCAGGTGCTCAGGTGCTTGAACTTCTCTGCCTGAGGTGAAAACTCACCATCGCACTAGGGGGAGCATTTCACCTGTTTCCACTTTTATCGCCTCGGATAGGAATGTATTGGTACTGCGTGTGTACTTGGAATTTTAAAAATGTTTTAATAGAACAGTACTAATACCACTTAACGAGACATATCATGCTTTTAAATCCTTTTTTTTCATATTTAAATCATTCAGTTGGGGTCTATATGAAGTGGAACTGCGACACTTTGGTCTGAATTCCTCCTTATTGTAACTGCACAAGCTCCTCTTTTAACCCCTTTTCTGATGTGTGTCTCAGATCAACTCGTTTTGACGCTGTCCCTTTTTTAAATTTTAACGAGCTTCACATTCTGCCCCCCTCCAGCTTCCAGAGTAGTTCATTCTAGCTTGATAGAGGGGTTTATGACTAAATAGCGGGGCAGAAACCTCATTTACAACTGAGCCAGAGTCTGACTCAGATCAGAGGAGAATCGAGACGAGCAAATTGTAATTGGGAAGTCCAGACTAGTGATGAGATGATACCTCAAGGAGTGCATTGACACACTACACAAACTGTGTCGGCTCTGTATTGAAACTGTGTTGGTCACTCAGTGACCCCTGCAGTAGTTAAAAAGCATTGCAGGTAAACTAAATTGAAATAAGATGGAAAAGCTTATATGCTGCAAGCCCAACATCATCCTGTGAAATATTGAATCACCAGTTCTTCACTTAAAATATGATCTCATCATTGTATTCATTTTCTCAATTTGTTGGCTGCGTTAAGTTGTTCATGAGAAGAGTTTAAAGCTTCCTTAAAACCTTGTTTGTATAAACTGTCTAAACCGAGTTGTAAAAATGCAGATTTGTTTATAATAAAATTTAGAGTTAAAATTATTAGTATATAATTTTGTTAAGTGTTAAACCATATGAAATAAAATATTTAATATATACTAAAAAATGTTTAGTTTATGCAGTTTTATTGAGGAACGAAAGTTTTTGAAGTGTCTTTGCTCCAAGGCAGTTTCTCTTAGAAACCAGTTCTCCTGTCCTAGAAAAAAACTCTTTCACAGGGT